TGGCATATTTTCGGTATAGAAAGTCGTAATTTCAAACTGCAAATATGTGCAGAGAGCCAGAATTTGGCTCCAAAATATGGCTCAGGAGACAGATTTGGGATATTTGGGATATTTTGAAAACTGCAGGGGGGTTTGGGCAAAATGTGACCTATCGCCGTTTTCAGTAATTGGCATATTTTAGCTATAAAAAGTACTAATTTCAAACTGCAAATATGTGCAGAAAGCCAGAATTTGGCTCCAAAATATGGCTCAGGAGTCAGATTTGGGATATTTGGGATGTTTTGAAAACTGCAGGGGGGTTTGGGCAAAATGTGACCCATCGCCGTTTTCAGTAATTGACATATTTTCGTTATAAAAAGTCGTAATTTCAAACTGCAAATATGTGCAGAGAGCCAGAATTTGGCTCGAAAATATGGCTCAGGAGTCAGATTTGGGATATTTGGGATATTTTGAAAACTACAGGGGGGTTTGGGCAAAATGTGACCCATCGCCGTTTTCAGTAATTGGCATATTTTCGGTAAAGAAATTCGTAATTTTAAACTGCAAATATGTGCAGAGAGCCAGAATTTGGCTCCAAAATATGGCTCAGGAGTCAGATTTGGGATATTTGGGATATTTTGAAAACTGCAGGGGGGTTTGGGCAAAATGTGACCCATCGCCGTTTTCAGTAATTGACATATTTTCGTTATAAAAAGTCGTAATTTCAAACTGCAAATATGTGCAGAGAGCCAGAATTTGGCTCTAAAATATGGCTCAGGAGTCAGATTTGGGATATTTGGGATGTTGTGAAAACTGCTGGGGGGTTTGGGCAAAATGTGACCTATCGCCGTTTTCAGTAATTGGCATATTTTCGGAATAGAAAGTCGTAATTTCAAACTGCAAATATGTGCAGAGAGCCAGAATTTGGCTCCAAAATATGGCTCAGGAGTCAGATTTGGGATATTTGGGATATTTTGAAAACTGCAGGGGGGTTTGGGCAAAATGTGACCTATCGCCGTTTTCAGTAATTGACATATTTTCGGTATAAAAAGTCGAAATTTCAAACTGCAAATATGTGCAGAGACCCAGAATTTGCCTCCAAAATATGGCTCAGGAGTTAGATTTGGGATATTTGGGATATTTTGAAAACTACAGGGGGGTTTGGGTAAAATGTGACCCATCGCCGTTTTCAGTAATTGGCATATTTTCGGTATAGAAAGTCGTAATTTCAAACTGCAAATATGTGCAGAGAGCTAGAATTTGGCTCCAAAATATGGCTCAGGAGTCAGATTTGGGATATTTGGGATATTTTGAAAACTGCAGGGGGGTTTGGGCAAAATGTGACCTATCGCCGTTTTCAGTAATTGGCCTATTTTCGGTATAAAAAGTACTAATTTCAAACTGCAAATATATGCAGAGAGACAGAATTTGGCTCCAAAATATGGCTCAGGAGTCAGATTTGGGATATTTTGAAAACTGCAGGGGAGTTTGGGCAAAATGTGACCCATCGCTGTTTTCAGCAATTGATATTTTCGGTATAAAAATTCGTAATTTCAAAGTGCCCGGCGCCTTGTTCTTGAAACCCATACTGTAATTGTTTCATGGACCTCTGCAATGGTTATGTGTTTCATAAGGTGGCATTCATTGCGAATATTGTTAAGGTCTATTGTTTGCGTCGGAAAAGTAGTGCTTCAGCTCCTTTATCGACTTGAGTTGTAATTTCCCTTTCATTAATTGGGCAAAAGTTTAAATTTTCTTACGGTTTTTTTGCTGAATATTTTTTCCCAAAACTTCGTGAATTCCTGTTCTTGTTCTCTCTCCTCGTAGAGTTTATTTCCTGTTGCGTCTATGATGTAGGGTGTTTCCTCAGCTGAGTTTCCCATCAGGGTTTTTACTTTTTTTCCAGAACTTTCCTGGGTTTCTGTAGTCGGCTTGGATTTTGCTTATTAGGTCATCCCATTTGTTGGTGTACTCTGTTTTGCATAAATCTTGCAGTTCCCTTCGTAGTCCTTTGCGCTCGTTCGTCCGCTCACTTTGTTTTATGAGTTGTAGAAGATTGTTATAGCTGATTGTTATATCTATATCTCGCTCACACCAGGGGGAATCCTCCCCAGCCCCCTAGTGTGAGGGAGGACGCCCCCCCAGCCCTCTGGTGTGAGGGAGGACGCCTCCCCAGCCCCCCTAGTGTGAGGGAGGACGCCTCCCCAGCCCCTTAGTGTGAGGGAGGACGCCTCCCCAGCCCCCTAGTGTGAGGGAGGGCGACTCCTCAGCCCTCTGGTGTGAGGGAGGACGCCCCCCAGCCCTCTGGTGTGAGGGAGGACGTCTCCCCAGCCCCCTAGTGTGAGGGAGGACGCCCCCCCAGCCCTCTGGTGTGAGAGAGGACGTCTCCCCAGTCCCGTAGTGTGAGGGAGGATGCCTCCCCAGCCCCCTAATGTGAGGGAGGACGTCTCCCCAGCCCCCTAGTGTGAGGGAGACGCCTCCCCATCCCCCTAGTGTGATGGAGACGCCTCCCCAGCCCCCTAGTGTGAGTAGACGCCTCCCCAGCCCCCTAGTGTGAGGGAGACGCCTCCCCAGCCCCCTAGTGTGAGTAGACGCCTCCCCAGCCCCCTAGTGTGAGGGAGACGCCTCCCCAGCCCCCTAGTGTGAGGGAGACGCCTCCCCAGCCCCCTAGTGTGAGTAGACGCCTCCCCAGCCCCCTAGTGTGAGGGAGACGCCTCCCCAGCCCTCTATCTTACAGGGAACTATCCCCAGTCTCTGTACCTAAAGCCTATTAATTCCATTGACGTCAATGAGATAATCCTTTCCCTTAAAAGCAAGTCTGGTGCCCTTGAGGAAATACCAACTTTAATCTACAAAAAAGCCTCCAGATCTTTAGCCCCTGCTATTGCTTTGCTCTTCAACAAGTCACTTGAACTCCAAACCTTTCCAGATATTCTAAAAAAAGCGAGAGTAACGCCTGTCCACAAATGTGGTGATCTCACAGATGTTAACAACTACAGACCTATATCAATCCTGCCAAACTTGTCAAAAATTTTTGAAAAACTAATCTATAAGCAGCTTTACTCATATCTAGCCAAACTCAATATACTTAGCCCTTGCCAATATGGCTTCAGGCCCAAAAAAAGCACTAACGATGCACTTATTAGTATGCTTAACTCGATTCATACAGCTCTTGATAAAAATGAGTTCCCTGTTGGGTTATTTGTGGACCTGCGTAAAGCTTTCGATACTGTCAACCACCAAAACCTTCTTCTTAAATTACATCATTATGGTGTCAGAGGACACTCCCTACAATACCTCAAATCCTACCTTACTGACAGGCTCCAATTTGTTTCTGTGAATAATACAATTTCTCCCACCCTACCCATCAACATTGGTGTTCCCCAGGGCAGCATACTTGGCCCTCTCCTCTTTCTCATCTACATTAATGACCTTCCAAATGCCTCCCAACACCTCAAACCAATCCTATTTGCTGACGACACAACCTTCATTTACTCCAGTCCTGATCCCCTTGCTCTAAATGCCACAGTAAATACTGAGCTAAATAAAGTCCATCTGTGGCTAACTGCCAACAAACTCACCCTTAACATTGACAAAACTTTCTATATTCTGTTTGGTAATAAATCCTCTAATCAAATAAATCTCAAAATAAACAATACCCAAATTTGTAACAAATTAGATGGCAAATTCCTTGGCATTCTCATTGACCACAAGCTGAATTTCCAGGGACACATTCTAAACATATCAAAAAAAGTTTCAAAAACGGTGGGCATTCTTTCTAAGATCAGATATTATGTACCACGCCCTGCCCTGGTGACTCTCTATTACTCCCTTATCTATCCATATCTCAACTATGGTATTTGTGCTTGGGGCTCTACTACCCAAAATCACTTACGTCCTCTAATTACTCAACACAAAGCTGCTATTAGGACAATATCCAATTCTGGCCCCAGACATCATTCGTTACCCCTACTCAAATCCCTGAATATGTTAGACATTAAGTCACTGCACATTCTCTCATGTGTATTATACATATATAAAACGCTAAACTGTAATGCCAATCCTGATCTCAAAAGCTTCATAGAAGGTTGTAACAGAACCCATGAGCACCACACCAGAAATAAATACAGTTTTGATATTCCTAGAGTACGACTTAATCAAACCAGAAATGCTCTACAAATCAAGGGGCCCAGAATGTGGAATGACCTTCCCAACCATGTTAAAGACAGTACCTCTCTCAACCAGTTTAGGTTAAAAACGAAGCTATACCTAATAAATTCCCTGTAACCTACCTTACCACTCTATTGTCAACCCATGTATGTTTTTTTTTTTTCAAATCAACGCTGTTTTAATGTAATTTTCTGTAATAATTTGTAATTGTATTTGTGCTGTTTTTTCAACAATGTTCCCCCCTCTTTTACCTCTATTTTTATTTGTACTCAACGCATTTTTTTCTTTTTACCCATTAGTTTTAAGCTTTAGTCAGTAGTGTTTTTTTTCCTGCCCGAAACGCTTTGCGTAATAGTGGCTTTAGGCATTGTATGTACTAGCTCTATCTGTAAAGCCAACAAACTTTGTAAAATCTCTTTATGTATGTACCTTTGCCTAAATAAAAATTATTATTATTATTATTATTATTATTATTATTATAGTGTGAGGGAGACGCCTCCCCAGCCCCCTAGTGTGAGGGAGACGCCTCCCCAGCCTCCTAGTGTGAGGGAGACGCCTCCCCAGCCTCCTAGTGTGAGGGAGACGCCTCCCCAGCCCCTTAGTGTGAGGGAGACACCTCCGAAGCCCCCTAGTGTGAGGGAGACGCCTCCCCAGCCCCCTAGTGTGAGGGAGACGCCTCCCCAGCCCCCTAGTGTGAGGGAGACGCCTCCCCATCCCCCCTAGTGTGAGGGAGGACGCCTCCCCAGCCCCCTAGTGTGAGGGAGACGCCTCCCCATCCCCCCTAGTGTGAGGGAGGACGCCTCCCCAGCCCCCTAGTGTGAGGGAGACGTCTCCCCAGCCCCCTAGTGTGAGGGAGGCACCTCCCCAGCAGAAGGGGAGCACATGGAGACAGTTGCCAAGTGCGCGCCAGTGAAGGACGACTGTGAAGAACAACTTGGTGTACCCCACTCTCCTCCAGTTTTAATGTTTTACCGGATAACAATACAATATTATACGTATTCAGGTAGTTAACTGGTTCCTCATGCGTTTTACATTATGTGTCATTATATATTAATGTTTGATACATGGACTTAAGTGTATTTATATAATAAACATGGGTAAGGCTTCGTCCACCTTTTAAGGTACGAAAAAAAAGCTGTGGTACATGGTAACTTGTTTTGATCCTTAGTGGTAATAGTTCAAAGTATAAAGTTTGTTAGAATACAAATGCAATTTCATCTGATTTAAAGTCTGTTATTGGGATTCTGATGCGTTTGTATTTGTTTTTTTCCAGTTCAGTGGTGGTGGTTAACCAAATATTTTTAAGATAAGTACCCTTATCCTCCCTTGTATGAGAAACAAGTTGTGTTGAGAGCTAGAGTACACAGTAGAGTGAGAGGAGAGTGTGGTGAAGTGAGAGACAAGTGTGATGAAGTGAGAGACAAGTGTGGTGAAGTGAGAGGAGAGTGTGGTGAAGTGAGAGCAAGTGTGGTGAAGTGAGAGACAAGTGTGATGAAGTGAGAGACAAGTGTGGTGAAGTGAGAGGAGAGTGTGGTGAAGTGAGAGCAAGTGTGGTGAAGTGAGAGCAAGTGTGGTGAAGTGAGAGGCGAGAGTAAGGAAGTGACAAGTGTTGCTGCTGGACAGGTAGAGCTCTTAAATTACTTCTTGCAGACACTTGGAAGGGCTATGTATGGGAGCAGGTGTGGAGTACTGACATTGACGGGTGAGGGGAAGGGAGAGGACAGTTAGTGTGAGGTGTGACAGGCATGAGAGTGAGCCCCCAGAGTGGAGGTGGTGGAGCTGCACTCTTGTGAGAGCTGCCCGGGGACGCTGGCACGTAATACCTCTTAATATGGTAGTTATTAGGCCTTGAATATAATGGTACGAGTGCTTACAACATCATTTTTAGTATTTGGTTTCCCTCTTAAAGTTTTCCAAGTAATAACTAGGCAGCAAAGGTTAGTATAGTTCATTTATTACGCAGTCAAGTCTCTTCGTCAGTGAGTGGTGGTGTGAAGGTTAGAGAGGCACTGGCACTAAAGCACAGAGGCACTGAAGCACAGAGGCACTGAGACACAGAGGCACTGAGACACAGTGGCACTGAAGCACAGAGGCACTGAGGCACTGAGACACTGAGGCACTGAGGCACAGAGGCACTGAGGCACAGGCTCAGGAAGTGACTACAGTATATTAGTCTTTCGAAGCCAGTTGCAGTATTGATGTTAGTGCTGTGTTACTGATTGCTCTTTTAGGTGTATTACTTGTAAGCTTATATATATGCAAGGAAAATTCTGTGTTGAGTTGGCTACTGGCTGGTTATGCTCAGATGAGTATAATAACTAGATCTGAATAAATCAATTTATAATAGTATGTGGGAAATATTTGACTGCATAATATAGGTGTATGAGAAGATAATGAGAGTGGAAATTAGTGACAATGAACTCAAATAGTGCATAATTGATTTTAATGTGTAGATAGATAGATTCTCTCGTGTAGATAGACTTTCTAGTGTCTAGTCAGAAAAGAATACAAAATTATTGTAACATAATTTGTTGGTTATTTGCATAAGCTCTTGTCAGCTTACTTTAATGTGTAATTTCAACCTAGGGTAAAAATCAAGTACTGTAGAATGTTTTGTGGGAGTAAAACTGGAACATAAGAATATTGTGCAAGATGAGTGACAGACGAGTATTTGAGTCTTTGTGTGTAGACCCTGGCAGGCGAGGTTTCAGCTATGATTCTGCTCTTCTGGTTGATGTGGACCGGGCCTTGGATTTTGATGAAGCTGTCATCCGTTTAACGACCAAATGCAATTCCATCGTCACCCAGCTCCGGACCTTGGGTCATCACATTACTGAGTTCTCAGTCACTGCCACCAAAGTTAGCAGCTTTGAGCCTATATCACCTGCTTCGAGTACCATTAAAGCTATGACTTGTGGAAACACAATAAGGTGCCCCATCATATCTGGCACAAACACACCAGATAGTAGAAACCTGAAGGTCATGGAGGAGCAGTGGTGTGGTCTGAAGCAAAAGAACTATTCAGGCATGGTGGCTGTAGCTCGTCTTTCACGATCATCCATCCCAAGAAATGGCTCTGGTGGGAGATACTCTGTCCGAGCACTGACGGAGGCTCTTCTTGGTCACATTCAGGCATATTTCATGTTTCAATCATACAGTCCGGATTTTCAGTGCTTGACAACCTCAGAAATGGGCAACAAGATTGAAAGTGCAGGAGATGAGTATCTGATATATTTGGTGTACCGTATCCAGCCTCTTGGTAATGCTACTGTACACAAGAGGATCAGAAGGCAGAGTGAGCTGAAGAGATTGGAGATAAACTGGTGAGTCACATGTAAAGCCTTGTAATGTTTGAAGTTTAGCAAGTTTGTAGGAAGCCAATTTTTAGCAAGTTTGGTGACTTCCTAAAGATTGGAAGCCTAACAATTCCAGGAAGATCATAGGATAATAATTTTAAGGAATTTATAGGGTAGGCCTGAGATTTCTAGGGTATTTGTGAGGTAACAATCATAACGAGAAATTAAGAGGATGGGCTGAAATAATCAGTTTGAAAACACCATGAAGCTGCTAGTGTACATGGCAGTTTTAGTGGGTATTGTATGTAAATACTGTACAACCATTGTGCATTAAATTTAAAGATAGGTGAAGGGCATTTTGAAATTTTTTAACTTTAAGTTTTGAAATACATTACTGTACTTTCTCCACTTTCCCTAGTCTCTCTCCCTCTTGGCAAATAAATAAGTTAATCGGTACCATATTTACACACTGGTTAAATTCTTAGTTAGAAAAAGTAGAAGAGGGATAGAACAATTACCAAAAGAGAGAGAACTGAAAAGGGGAAACGGAGCAAGAGTCAGCTGATAGTGTTGTAATAAATGCTGTATGAATGAAATTAGATAGCTTAGTGTATCAGATGTTATATTGCACTTCACTAAGAAATGATCTTGTTAGCCAATTCTTTCCAGCCCATCAAGAGATCCAGTCTACTGTAATCAGAGCAAGATCTCGCTGTCCATTGGTTACCTTTAAATAATTTAAATGGAAGGCAGCCTTGCCTAACTATTGAATATTATGTGAGGGAAAAATATTATTTAGGAATGAACCTCTATTTTCCAATGTTCTTAGTCAATCCTGTATTACCACTATGAATATTTATCCATTTTAGTCAAAGGGATTAGAAAGAGTGCTACATTCACTGTTCTAGGAGATTATGTTTTGGACAGTTAGACATTATATACCGTATATAATATATGTAAAAATTGTACCAAATGCAGTATAAATATGAACAAAATCTAAAGACAATTAGCATGAAAGGGAAAGGTCATTTACATGGCTTTCATATATACTGTACAATACACCAAGCTGCTTCATAAATTTTAGGATAAAATGTGTATCTTTCACAAGTTACTGTTCTTGGAAACTGGTGGTAGTTTTTATCACTTGTGTGAGTAATCAGGTACAAATTTAATTAGAATATTCCTCATTGGCTAAACCCTTTTCTCTGGTAAGAATAACTTTTATAGTGGAGAAACTTATCACTATTTGGTCACTTGTAGCTTAAACTAATTTTGATGCAAGCATTCTAATTAAATAAAAAACATTTAGTTGTCATTTATGTGAATAAAATGTTGAGCAACAATTATAATTCAATAATAAATGCAATAATTAAATGTTTTTAAAAACTAATATAAGAATATCCATTGAAATAATTGTTCCATTTCATGCATTTGAAGGCCCTTTGCGCCAAGTATGGAAAAGAGGCGCCGTCGGTGTACATCTGGTGAGAGCAGCATAAGCAGCACTAGCAGTAGTACCAGTTGTAACACTAGTGGTGGCTCTACCTGCATGACTCCACCTGTGTCACTTGCACCTTGTCTTGTCTCCCAAATAGCAGCTACCACAACACACGGCAGACATTCTGCAAGAAGTCTGAATCCAGGTAAAATGGAATTAGAAAATGGTAGTATGTACAGTGAAGTCTCTCTTAAACCAACTGGTTTGGGACCGAACACTGTGCAGATTCAGTACCTGTACTTTGGTGCAGTCTCAGAATCTTAGCCAAACTTCTCATAACTTTATCATTACTGTTTAGTCTTTTATTTACTCAATTTATTTGTACAATGTTGATATTTAAAGTACAGTACTGTACTTTGTTGTAACAGAATTTACAAATGAAATTATTTAAATGTAAACAATAAAATATATTTTATTTGTATGTATGTCCTAAGATGAGACAGTTACAGTGGTCTCAATTATACAAATTAATTAGCACCAAATGCATTTAATCCTGACTAGTTTTTTTGCCTTATCTTAGCTAAAATGTCTATTTTGTATTTGTTAAAATTTATAGAGCAATGCATTTGGCTTCATTTTTAAATCAAATTCATGTGATAAGTACTGTACCTCTTTCAGGTATTTGCTATGAAAACAAGATAAAAATTAAAATGAAAAGTGGTGGTGTGCTTTTGTTAAGTCAGTCTGGTGAATTAGGCAGCCTCGATCATTCAGATTTCCTGTTCCTGTATGACCAAACTTTGTTATAGTGGCACACTGTTTTTGCACCCTGTCAGTCATTTGTAGTTTTTTATCCAAGTTATGCTGTAATACATACCCGAGTTTACCTAACAGTAGTGGCCTTGACAAGGACAGGAAGCTGGCGGCTTGTTGAAGGTTCCTCCATTTGCCTTTATAATCTTTTCCTGTTCTCAGTTCTACAATGTGCCTTGTCAAGCTTGGAACCTTTGCTCCTTGTTTGTGTTACATTTGACGTTTTGAAGAAATTTTCTGGATCAAAATCCACCAAATTACTGTATTCAGTACAGATATTTTAAAAGTTTCAATGATATGTCATCTGGCCTGGTTTGTAATATTGTTAGCCCTGTGGCCCTCAACCGTTCCTGATACGAAAGATGACATCTCTGGAATGATTTCTGTTGCCCGGTGTTGCACTTTCTCCTGAGCAACTATGTCCTTCTGAAGATGGGATCTCCATGCTTGGATACAGTTTATATCATCTTGGCTTTTTTTCTATCACTGATGATTTTTTTTTTATGCCTACCTTACCACATAGTTGTCTTCTATATTATGTAGTATTATTACAGGATAGAGTTTGATCACCAACAGTGTTGGAAAAAATGGCAGCAAAATCAGGAACTTTTACCAGTTAATTGTTAGGATACTATATACAGTACAGAACTTTAATTAAAAGCTGCTTTCAAATCTGCTACAGATGCTTGATTTACAGAGAATTGTATGGAATTGCTTGCTGCTTTACATTACGTAAATGCAAATATACTGTATTTTGTTTGGGGATTCAAGCTGGCATGGCCAATATGACAAAAACAATGTGATACTTTAGGATTTAGTTTGAGTTGTCTCTGGGAAGGTCCTCTCAGCAGTTCTTAGAGCTTGTGTGCTGGTGCTGCCAGCCTTAAGATTGTGCCAGGTCTCTTGACCTAGAGGGGAAAAGGACCAATGTTAGTCTCTTTCTATAAGGTGAGGAAAAGCCAGGGAATTGGCTGGCAACTATGGTGACCCAAGGGTGACTGACTGACTTGCACTCTCACTTGCATACCTGCTGCCACCAGTGATGCATAGGCTTCTACAGAGACCTAGAGTTCTGATTTCTAGATGCTGTAAATGGTGTAACATTTCTTGAAAGGTTTTTCTATGGGAGTCTGTGCTTATTTTGTTCCTTCTTGGCGTCAGTTCACGTTTCCTCACAAGTTACCATCTCGGCTGAGTTTGAGTGTCATTCTTTCTGGGATTTCAGTGTCAGTGTCCAGGTAGTGTCCTGGCTTGGTCTCAATGCCAGACCTGTTGAGCATGTGTCTTGGCTGGCCCCAGGTGACCTGAGCTGCTACTTGGTGGTATGTATGAGTACTGGAGCATGATTTTTTGCCCTTGGCAAACTATCATTTCAATTATTTTATTTTTGTTTTCTAATCAAGATTAATGGTTTGTTTTGCTTTGCTTGTACTTCAATTTATCTCAGTATTAGTATTTTGTGATATCTCGGTGTATTTTGTGAGGTGCTCCCCTCACCAGATTCTTTTCCTGGCATTCGGTAGGCCTGGAAAGGTTATGAAGCCTGAAAATGTTATGGTTTTATCTGTGGTACTAGAGCCTGATGCACTAGGAAGCTACTGAGTGATGCCATAGAAAATCCATTTTATTACAGTATTTTAGTGCTTGATTTTATGTTTCAAGATAATCTACGCCTGGTGAATGGAAATACCTCCATTAATCAGGTCTGATCAAAACATCCACTGGGTAGTAAAATTTAAGAATGCAGGTACAGCATTCATAATATTTTTGAAATGCCATTGTACATGTTGGTTACAAAATTGTTTTCCTGTTATAATTTTCAGAATGTTGAACATACAGTAGTTGGAAATTTAAGCTTTCACATATTTCAGGTTGTACAGTGAATGATGGGTTTGGTTTAGACTTGACCAATTGGTCTACACCAAGTGCACTAAAGGCTATTCATATAAGAAGTACTGAAAATAATCTTGGCTTCCACAAAACTCCCATGAACCTCAGGAGCAGGAAAAGAGAAATACCTAAAAAATCTACAAGGTAGTGTGTTTTAGTTTTGTTGTATGCACTGTGTATATTAGATATTTTATTATTTTACAATAATTATTCTTACATGCAGAATTGAGGAAGTGTGTAAATTTTTAAATGTGCATTGTGGTCAGATGAAGAGCATAAATCTTATTTAAAAAATGTCCATGGTCACAAGCATTTCAGATTTGACACTCTAGCATAGCTCATATCCTTCAGTTCAAGAGCCCATTTAGTAGAATGCCTCAGTGCACACAATCACTGTATATGTTATCTTTAATCTGATTCATGTTTGTGTATGTTTAGAGTATTTGTGACTGGTGGTAGAATTTAAAAAACAAAATGAACATCAATTCATTTGTACACACAGATTGAAGAATGCTAAAGCTTCAGTGCGGAGGCCCCAACATAAGCTATCAGCGAGACGGCTTCCATAACAGTACTGTACGGTGCAGTAATTACTTTTATCAGCAAGCTGGCAGATAATCTGTACAGTAAATCAAAGAACTGAACTCTTATTTTTTTTTTATAACAGTTATGTGAATTTCAGCCAATGTGAGAAAAGGTAAATAACATTCATTACTCAATATTTATCAGTGTAGTAACATATTAGAAAAATGTGCCCCAGCTTTAATATTTGCTCGGTTGATCCCAAAGTTGAAAAAACACAATGTGGGTCAATACTATAATGCACCCTGATACTTACGTTATTAAGGATCCTTCTTGGTCCAGATTATGTATAAGCATCATTATGCATCAAATCATAAGGATTTGGCAGCTTTCAAACTGAATAAAAGTACAGTATAATATATACGAGTACTGTACTTTGACAGTTGAACACATGATGGCATATAGGATATTACCAATGACTTTAAAAGTGTGCCAATATTAATAGGGATGTATTGGAGGATGCTAGTTAAATTAACAAAAACAAGACACCTCACAAAATAGTGAAATTTGTTTAGAGTACTGTATTTTGAGTTGGATAGGTTTGGTTAAAGTGCAGATAAAAATAATTTGATCTCGTTAAATGAAAGGTTTTTGGATTTATCTTTCACTGGGAGTAACTTTTTTTTAAATCTGCCTCACTTTTAAAGCTAGTTTATAATGTATGTATGTATGTAAATATATTAATGTTTTCTGTATTGCAACAGTACATACAAACTCTTCCAAATAATACAAAGTGTGTCTTACTAGATATTCTGCCTCATATCCCATTCAATGATGCCTTGCTGTCATAGTGGCTCAGTGCATACAAAAGTGTGTAGTGTACTAAAATTATATATTAGATTTGTTATATTATAGATATTATATTATAGATATTTGATTTAGATATTATATTATAGATATTTGATATTATAGATATTTGAAAGAATACTACTTATAATTACTGTATGTATAATGCTCTTAATTGAATATTAGCTGAGGTTTCTCAACTTTTGATATTAAAAGAAATGTAATTGATATTTGAACAGAATAAAATGTATTCTGAGGTACTGTATATATTACTGTATATTGAATAGGAGAGGTGTATATTTTAACAAGAGGATAGTGTACTATATGTTGGCTATACAGCCCTGATTTATATTTGTTTATGTTGTGCATAATAGTAAGTCTCACTAATAAAATAAATCATTTGAGGATGGTCAGTCATTCGTACTAGTACGAAATCTGTACTAGTTTTGATTGGCTTCTTCTTAGATGATACTAGCTCAGTTTGCCACTCTTGGTGACAAAATGTTCAATACTTATATGTGTAATAAATTTTATAATAGGCCTCTATGACCCTTATATCAAGGTAGTTATAGATGTTGAATATTAACCCCTTACTAGTGATTGTCATTACAATATGATATTTAGTTTTATAACTGATAAAGCTAACCACCGATAAGATTTAAAATGGTTTCATACTTTGTGAAAATAAGATTTATCGCTTACACTATTCTTCTTAATTAGCATGAAGACAAATGCACTTTCTTCTTGGCATTATTTCCCATAAACAGTTTCATATTCTCCTGACACTTCTTACTCAATTTTTCTATTGTTTTTCTTACCACCCTTGATTTTTTTTTTACCCTTCTCGTCTACACTTTTTATTCTTCACATGTCCAAATTATTCAGGTATTCTATCCTTTATTTCCTTTCAATTTCACTTATTTTTATTTTTTTTTTTTTTTTGTCTTTCTGACAAATCCTTGCTTAGTGATGACACTCCAGAACTTTGGTCAGTATCTCTTTTGTTAATTGATTTTTTTATTCAAAATGTTTTTAAAGGTGTCAAGGTTTTGTAGTTAGAGACATATTTTTTTTTAGGAAACCCCAGAAAAATCTTATGCTATTAAATAAGCGAGTGAGTGGCCAATTAATAAACCTGAACCACCAACCACAATTATAACTACTGCTGCAAACTCCACAACCACCACTTCATACAACTCAGTCACAATCATAATCCTACTGCAACTATAATTAATATTAAACACTATAGTAGGCACAATTACAAACACTTACACCACAATTATCACTCCATCCACCACAACATAGCCATCACTATAACCACCACCATATCAACATGCCTGCTGCTACAAGTATACAATCACGTTCTACAACTTTTCCAGTGCCTTGCTCCTCTAAGGAGCCAATTACACTCAGCATCGAATTCAGCATCCACACATCTGATATAAATATACACAAGCTGAGCTCTGAACTCACTTGGGCTCCAATCGGCACCAGAAGAATACCTCTAGTCTCTTATTCTCCATCAACGCATTCAATCTTCACCTCTGCTGGAACTTCACCTCAAGCAAGTCATTATCTTGCTTCCTGCTATAATATTCGTAATGTTCAAATAATATACTTGTTGTTATTACTGTGTACTTTACTTGCCCTTTCATCTAGTGGTCACCCTGGTGCCAATACTTAGATAGTATTGACACAGTATTATATCACTACTGCATCTACTGTTAAAAGTATCAGTACCAACACAGCACAATCACCATAACATTCAAGAAAAACTATCCTAAACCATCTTGTCCATACAATAAAAACCATGCTATACCCCCCAGAAACATGGCTTCATGCAATGAAGGAGTGTGCATCCTTGCATCACCTTTCATTACCCTGCACACTGAAAAGTCATATACCACCTTCCTAGATCTGAAGTCTACCTTTGATATTGCAAACCCATATGTCATTTTGATTTAGCTTCCAAAAATAAATATTGGTGGTCGTTTTTTGTTTTTTTTTTTTTGGAAAAAAAAAGGTTGCTCAACTTAAGGTTATTTGACCAACAGAAGGCCATCTGTATTGTTCCAGGGGAAATGGAGTGTAACAAGAGACTTTGAACTAGGCACACCATAGGGAGGTATCCTCAGCCCTACCTTATTTAATATTTTAATAAATGTGCTATTAAGTCATGTGCCTAACAAACCCAGTGTGCACAGTAGCTATACTAATGATAAGGATACATACCACTTGGTATGTTAACATGCAAGACACTTGACTCTGTATTATACTCTTGTCAGGTTTGTAAGGATCCTGTAAGGCAAGATGTATTTTTATGACACCCATGTTGCATTGATTTTCCTAGATTGTTCACTGAGATGGTGAATGATTCTTTCCCTTAGGATTCTCTCCCTGAGCTTGCAGATGCACGAGGTCAAACTGATCAGGCTGTAGTTTTCTGCTTAGCCCTTTCTGACTTTTTTGAAAATAGGAGTGACATTTACATATTTCCAATCAAGGGGAACTATCCCTTGGTCCAAAGATTTTCTGAAAAGTAGTTTCAATGATAGATATAGTTCATCTGCCAGTTCCTTTATCTGAATTTACCAGACAGCCACTAACACTACTGGCCATGATGGACAGGAAGGTGGTGGCTTGTCAAAGGTCCCCCCATTTGTCCTGATGATTTTTTTCCAACTGGATTTTAAAATTCAGCCGTGTTTTGGAATTTACAGCTTTAGCAGATAGCTAGTTCCATGGGTTTATGGATGAACCAGTATTTATGGATTGAAAAAAATGGATGAAAAAGCATCTAGTTTTCTGTCCTACATTGAGGCTTGTTAAGCCTGAAGCATTTGTTGGTCCTTGTTTGTTACATCTGACCTTTTAAAGAAGTTATTTACCTGAGAGCCACCAACACTAGTGGCCTCGATGAGGCCCCCCCCCATTTGCCCTAATGATTTTTTCCAGTTGTATTTTAAAATCCAGCAAAGTTTTGGCATTTACTGCTTTGGCGGGTAGGCCTTCCACGGGTTTACAGCCTTATGGGTGAAAAAGCATCTCCTGGTTTCCTGTCTTGCATTGTTATTTGTTGAGCTTGAACTCGTTGCTCCTTGTTTGTGTTACATCTGGCCGTTTGAAGAAATTGTTCGGATCAACGTCCTCAAAATTGTTCAGTGTTTTAAAGGTTTCGATGAGATTCACCCTGTCATGCCTGTTTTGCAGTGTTATTAGCCTGGTGGCTCTGAACCGTTCCTGATATGTGAGATGACTAAAGCTCCGGTATGATTTTTGTTGCCCGGTATTGCACTTTCTCCAGAGCAGATATGCCCGTCTGATGATGGGGTCTCCATGCTTGGATACAGTAATCCAAATAGGGGCACACTAGAGATTTATACAGTTCATTATTGTATATATACACTTCATAAATCATTACCTTCTTTTCCCTATTCAAAAGTACGTTTGATTATTCCAAGGGTTTGGTTAGCTTTTCTGACTGCTGCACCCCACTTGTTGTGCAACAGGTGGGTAATATGAAGGAAGATTACAAAGTGAAAATAAACAAAAATGGGTATTAAATTCATCTAGCCTATGCAATAAAGCCACTATATTTGGCTTTATAATGTATAATAATATACAGTACTGTATATTTAAAAAAAAATATTGACTACATTGTATATACAGTACAGCACTACAAGATGGGGATGATATTGCTACAGTATATCATTCATAAAGATAAGGTCAGAGGTTATTGATCCAGATAACATCTTTAAAAGGTGAGATGTAACAAACAAGGAACAATGGTTTCAAGCTCAACAAGCTACAATGTAGGACAAAAAATGTGAATATTTTCACCCACAAGGGTATGAACCCTCGGAACTTCCTACCCGCCGAAGCCGCAGATGTCAAAACACTAGACTTAAAATCTAGCTGGATTAAATCGTCAGAAGTGGTGTTGACCTGTGACAAGGCATCGGCTTCCTGTCCTCATCGTGGCCACTAGAGAGAGAGAGTGGTCCTCAGGTAAATTCAGGTTATAGGAGTGCATAACTCAAGAGAGCCGCCAGCGCCATCTCTTGAGCAAAAGCAGCTTCGTCGGTCTGTGCAGATGCCAACGGAGCCTTTAGTTCATTATTTATAATATTTTGGCAGTATGGAGTGAGGAAGAAATGGTGAGGGACACCATGGGATACTATATGGTGTTAGTGTTGGTGACGGTGAGCTGTGGGTGTGGGGCCCAGCTGGTGGTCAACGTTAACACCCAGGTCAGTACAAGTGTCACTCACACTCATACACATACACACCTCCCACAATGATAGCTATCTTTTCTTCTCAATATCAAAGCAGGGTATTGTAAATCTATAGGTTAGGCTGTGTTATCGTGGTAAGGGCATTAATTTTAATATTACACAAAATTGTTAATATTTTCTTGTGCACTGGGGAATGTCGGCTATAATAGCGGGCTCACTCATACAAATTTGGACAAAAAATATAATGTATAATCTCTGTGATGGATTTGCAGTAAAGTATATGTATGTGTTTCTGATAACATATACAAATATAAGCATTAGCGAATCTCTGCTAATTACACAGTCCATTAGGGTCTTGACGCACAGTCAAGAATTCCGGGTTCGAATCCCAGGCGGAACAGAAATGGTTGGGCCGAGTCCGTCTAATTACCACAAGCTACACAAGCTTCACAAAGCTTCCTGGCAATACGTTAGTAATGAATAAATATGATATGTTCGGCTGACCTAACCTAACCGACGCTTGGAGCGTCGACTTTATTAGGTAACACCAGCTCTTTATTTTCGTCTAATTTCTTTATAAAAAGATACTTTTTCAGATTAAAATTGTTTTTTCGTGTTGTACATATATTTAATGAGTAAATATATTTATTCATTACTAACGTATTGCCAGGAAGCTTTTTGAAGCTTATGTAGCTTGTGGTAGCTTGCGGTAATTAGACGGATCAGTTGGGCCCATTTACTTTCACCTAATGTTCCTGTTGTTTTGTTGTTATAGATTCAGCTACTTGGAACAAGTTCCAAGTAGCACGGGCTATGGTGAGTCCGTAGTGGACTTGCCTGGCACAGGAGCGGTGCTTCAATAAATGTAATGTTCCTATTCACCTAATAGTAAATAGGTACCCAGGAGTTGGTCAGCTTGTGGGGTTGCATCCTGGGCGGGGGAAAGGACCTCGATATAATCCTAATATGTATAAATACAACAAATGAACAAATCCACAGATTTGTGAATAAATACACTCTGGCTTCCTGTTCCCCTGACAATGAATTATTATTATTATATTGCTGTGTGTAGTTTTACACATAGGTATGTAAAACTTTTTTGTTTATCGTAAGTGGATGAAATGTACATTGATCTTTAAGAATTTACATCTCCAATCAATGTGGCGAGTGTCACTGGAAACCATTAATACTGATATATCTTTGTTCTCCTGTAAGAATGTTTCTTGTAACGTATTCACAATAACGCTTATACTGTGTCTCTTTCTGAAGACATGTAATATTTTTGGCTTGATTAGAATATGTTAATTACACACTACATTGGCCAGTGCATAGGGTTCGGTGCTCCATGACTGACAAGCCACTGGAAGCAATTATTAAAATAAACGTATCTTTGCTTGAGCTTTAGATATGACCATGATAAAGGATTTAAAAAGAAGCTTAATAAAAAGATAAGAATAAAAGTAACTGCAGAAGGCCTATTGGCCCATATGAGGCAGCTCCTAGCTTGTACTGTACAGTATTTGTCTTTCCCGAGACAAATAAGACAGTTACGTTTATTAACGTATCTGTGAAATAAACATTGTTCTGATGGAGTGTGCTGCTCTGTTGATCAATCTGTGTGGGCTCAAAGCACGGAGGGTGATGAAAAGCAACTTTTATAAAATTACATACAGGTACAGATATTTTACATATGTATCTACATATATATTTAGGTAAATTCAGATAAATCTTTGGTGTTACTTAAAATATTTTTCTGGTAGAGATTCTACTTATAGATTATGTTTGTCTTTCTTGTGACATAAATAATTAATATTTATAAACTTAAGATGTTTTCAACAATTTTCTTCAGGTGCTCATCTGTTCCAACATGACTGAACACTTTTTAAATCCTTCATGAGGGTTAGATCCCACCAAACTGACCCAACTGATATTTGGGTCAGATCCCAGTATGGTTCAAAACATATATAGTATATTTATACACAGGCTTCCTGTCACCAACAAAATTAATTATTAATTAATATGTTGCTCTTTGTATATTTTCTGGTTATAAAGATAATGAAATTGATCACAAGTACAGTGGACCCTTATTTAACATGTTTATATAGGTATGGGTGGTCATATATGAGCTAATGTTATATTAAAAAATTATATTTGCAACAAAAACTGACTATATATATAATAATGAAGTAATATGTTGAATTATTTGAAATTAATTTCTAAACTTTTGTCCTTAATCAGCATATATAAAGTACATCTGGGAAGTTAATAAAAAAAAGTGTATATAAAAACAAAATTTTAAGATTGTTCATGCATTTTTAAGTGCAGTGTTTTCTCGAGTATTTCATGCAAAATCTCACCAGGTGTACTTGTCTGTATGCTGATTAAGAATAATGGATCAAAAAACATATGTTGTCCCTTTTGGGACAGAAAGCCTGTTAAGCATATAGGTCTCCATAGGCCAATAACTGACCTTCACAAGAATACAACCCCACAAGTTGCCTAACTCCCAGGTACTGTATTTGTTTACAGCTAGGTAAACATAAGTACTGTACATGTATTAGAAGTAGGAAAGTTGCACAAACGTCGCACTCTGTCCAAGTTCCCAGGACCGTCCTGCACTGACCACTTCACCATAGGTTATAATTATGAGAGACAGTTGGTAAGATTATCTTTGAATACACTTTCTTCATTGGTGTGCAGCTATCATTAAAGAGGTCAATTTGCTAGTGTGAAAAAAATATATATCATTTGTTTATATACTGTTAGGTACCCCAGGAATTAGTCAGCTTATTGTGGGGTTACATCCTGGGGAGGGTCAGTAGTTCAACCTTAGGGGAGGGGGAGGACCTCGATATAAGCCAGACATGTATGTACATATATATATATACACAGGCTGCCTGTCCCCAGCACAATGAGTTATTTTTATATGTCCTGTATATGTGGCAGTTCATGAGTTCTGTACTGCTGGTCTTGTGAAACAGTGGATTTCTGCTGAAGTGAAGGATAGTGCTTGGTTTGTTTGCAATACTATACAATATATTATTTTGTGAATGATGTTCTTAATGGTTAACTTAATATTTAACAATTTTATTTAATATTGATAACCTTTGTGTTTCTCAAATTTTATTGTGGTTAATGCCTTCATGCCCCATTAAAGGTAGGAAATGGGATAATGTAATGTATGCAAGTTTTTAAAAGCTTGTTATTTTGCAGAGTGGCGAGGTTTTCAAGGAAACAATTACTGCAAATATTTCTGACGATTCAGTTGTACTAGAATTTCCTCAGAATGATGGTACATATATCACACAACTTATTGACTTCAAACAAGTGAGTGAAATAGTAGCATTAATTACTGTATACATATACAGTAATACAAGGCATATTTTTATATAGTATATAAAGCATATTTTTAGCTATATGTTATGTGTAGTCGTAAAACTGTGTGTAAACTGTCACAGTTGAACATCCAAAATCCAAGATAGCCATGCCTAGCACATATACCTTGATATTTTTGTATAATGCTGCATGCTTTTGATTTTAGCCTTAAATACAGCATGTGGTGTATAATATTGCAATCGATCTGTTAGTAACTTTATTCATAAATGTCTGTTTTGTACATTTACAGTTGTTAGCTTGAACAAACTTGGTGAATTAATTATCTAAGAGAAAGCCATAACATCATGACATGAAATATCTGATGATGAGAATACAGTTTAAACTAATATAAACTAATCATTCGATGAATTAATATCAACAGATTCTAGGGCTATCCCAGAACAAAATCATTCTCAATACACGGTTCATGCAACATAGGTCTGACTTTAATAGAATGCCTGGTGACAGATAGTAGTGGCAGTCAGGTGACCAACTAGCAGTTCGTAGGTAGTGAGCTGTTTGCTTTCAAGTATTGTTTGGAGGAGATTCGGTGATAAATTGATGATTCCCATGTTTCCCTTCCTCCACATATAGCCCGGCAGAAACATTTTTAAAATACTGTACACGCATTGTTAAAGATGAGTGGGTCATTAACCCGTGGTTGAGTGTAACATTCTTAAGAGAGCTAGATATTGCTTAAGGCATACTTAGACATAATCTTTGACTGATATAATCTTTAATTTGCCACCAACAGGAGTTGCAGATCTTTAAGGTGATTGTCTTAGGCGAGGAAGAACTGGGTCAGAGTCAGTATCAGGTCATGTGCTTCATTTTGCGATTTTTCAAGAGCAACTTCATTTCTTCTGATGCAATGTCTAAGCTGAGGCAGGTAAGATAATAAATTATTGCCTGTGCAGAAAGATTACCTGTTTTCTTATTGATTAAAAAGTAGCACCACTACTTTTCTACTTTACGCTACTCAACCACTGCCTATTGGGCTACTCAATCATGCTACCCCTGCTTTGAGGATCTTGCTCAATGCAGGGGTAGCATGATTGAGTACCCCAATAGGCAGTGGTACAACTGTAGGCCAAGGGTTCTTTATCACTAGTCATTATATTCTGCATTGCTTTAACTCTACCCATCTATACTTTAATTCTTGCCAACAACAAATCTCCATATTTGTCAGGGAATTGAAAGGGAAGAAAAATAGAAAGACTGGAGGATCTGACGAGTGTCATATCATTTTCCCTTAGAAATGGGCTTTTCTTATGCTAAATGTATTTTATATATTAATTGGCTCCTTGACTTGCTCCCCACTTATATAACAAAGGAATGATTGGAGGACTAATTTTCCATTGTTCTTGGAAAAATGCCCAAAAGTTAACAATTTTAACTATAGGGAGTCTAATGTAGTCTTTGATGTGTCATGAGAAAACCCATCCCTGAATCTTGGAAGATGGAAAAATTACCCATAAGAATATGCCCAAAATAGTAACATTGAACAGTCATGAAACAGCTTTGAAGATGTAGGACATTGTTTTAGTAATTTAAAGGCTCAAGCAATCGGCAAAAACCATATTTCGATCTACCCCAAATTAAACATTTGCTATAACACAGACCCTTCAAATAAGTCAAAACTCTTCAAATTTAGAAGACTGGAAAGCCACCAAGATTTGCTCTAAACTCAAAATTTAGATAAAACTGATTTGGATAAATATTTTGTATATAGAGCCAGTAACTTCATTATTTACCAATGAGGAATATTGTAAACCAGACACTTGGTTCGAGTTCTTATTGCCACAGTTTAGCTACGCAATTCTCTGTGTAGGCAATGTATGATTCGTTTACTTTCATAAATAAATTCTTCAGTTACTGTCTCTTCTTGTCTTTCCAAGCCTTTCTTTTAAGATTTTAGTTATTGAATTTAGGTAGATATGGCATGTTTTATTGATATTTTTTGCAGAAAAATCCTGGCACTGTTCGAACTCCAGAAGAGGACCGAGGAACAGAAGAAATAGAACTTGATGTGAGTGTGGACGTAACTAGATCAAATATTCTTTCTCCACACATTCCACAAATGTGTGCATCAGCTGCTACTTCCACTTATGCTTCAGACCGAGATATTAAACTGTGGGCTACACAAAGAAGAGGTAATTAATGTTTTAGTGTAAGGAGAAATGGTAAATAATTTACTTTTATTGCTGCTGGATTTTGTTTTAGGGATTCCGTTGTGGTTCGTCCTTCAAAGTCGATGGAAACCCTTTAATGTCATTAATTTCTCTGGGAGTGGGCTCGAAGATGGTCGATTAGTGCAATCCAAGCTCGGAATTTTCAGTTGCAGTGAGGACATGGAAGTGTGGGCTCCTAACAAGGGAAGCCACAAGCCCAGGACTTGTAAAGCGACTGTTCCTCTGCATCATCATTCAATCTTACTATTTGTAGGCTGCTACACTAATATGAACTTGTCTATGCCATGCAGAGAACTCCTCAGTAATGCTCAACCAACTTTCAATCTGCTGCAGTTCTTGAAGATATCCTTAAATTATTTCTTTTGACCTCCAAGAGAACATTTTCCGTTTTAGTTCACCGTAGAACATCTTTAGGAGTCGCTCATCAGGCAGGCATTCACACATCATAGCCAACCCAACTGAGCTGTGCCTTGCAAAGCATGGTGTGGATACTTGTCATGCCAGCCTGTGCAAGAATGTCTGTATCTGGCATTTTTTCCTGCTTCTGTATCTCGCCCTAAGCAGCTTCCACAGATAGCTCAAATGGAAATGGTTTAGCTTTTTTGCATGGCAACTATAGCCAGTCCAGGTCTCACAGGCTTAGAGGAAAGTTGGCAGGATGACTGCCAAGTAGACTTTCAGTAGACTTTGTGTGGTCTCAGTCTTAATGCCTTTTCATTCGCAGACATTGGATTGAAGCTTTCCAAATGCTGTGCTAGCTCTGGCAGTCTCGGTGTACACCTCTTCATTGATATTGACTTCTTGTGATAGTGTGCTGCCGAGATATGTAAACCTGTCTACAGTGAGCTTTTGACCACTGACAATTACATCCAGGCTAAATTAGAACCTTGGTCTCTTTGTTGGAGAGGATGAGGCCAAAGTTTGTGCAAGCCATGAAAAAAAGATCCATGATGTATTATATGGCAGCCTTTGTAGGGCACAGTCATTCACAAATAGAAAGTCACAAATGGTCTCGATCTTGGAATTTGGTTCTGGACTAGAGCCTCCTCAAGTTGAACAGCTTCCCATGATAGTAGTAACGGAGGTGGATCCCAAAATCACTCTCTAAAAGCATCGATCAACATGGCAGAGAACATGTACCACTTAGATGTAAATACAGTACAAGGAATAAGAAAAAATAACAGAAGTTGTAAAAGTTTAAAAGACAAGAGGTCAAGTAAGAAGCAATTGATGTGGCGAGATGTAGTTAATGAAGGATAAGGAATTTGCACAACTTACATGATTACAGTACAGTACAGAAGAATTTGTCAAATGAAAATGAAGACTCACAAAAGTACTGTAGTGTATAAGGAGCATTATGATAAATGAAAGAATTAATTGTTGAATACAGAACAATCATACAAGATTTTTTTTAAGTGGAATGAAAAGTTTATGGGCATGAAAAGTTACATTGAAAGGAGACAAGGAAACTTGAGAAAGTAGTTGCATTGTAAAGAACAAATCCACAAGGGCAGTGATGAGGGTTTGAACCTATGCACGGAATGTTCTCGTCACGGCCCCTGTGGGTTTGTTAATTTGATATATCACGCTATTAGTGATTTCTGTGTGTAGTGTAGTGGCATTGTACTAGAGTATGGAAAGAGCATTTTAATAACACCTTCCCACTCTCGGTGCACACACCCCAACCCACCCCTAGCTGCGCCCGGCGGTTCCCGTGAGCGGTCCCTGGAGCGCCCACCCACACTAACATTTGTACTCTTTCCAGTATTCTGACCTCAAATTCTGAGCCATGTCATTCATTATGGTATCAAATTGTTCGGCTCAATTTAAAGGCGCATATTTTAAAACTAGTCCCATAATAATTAAACAACAAATGGAATTTTAAAAATATTTTATTTTGGCACGCTCATTACCACAGGTATTTATGATCTTTCCATTGTTCTGACATCAATTGTCATACTACATCGGTCATTTTGATATAAAATTGTTCGCAATCTAAAGGTGTGCATTTTAAAACTAGTCCCATAATAATTAAACAATAAATGGAATTTTAACAAATATTTTAATTTTGGACGCAATATGCATCCCTGCCACGCATCGGTAAGATTATTAATGGATGCAAACTGCGTCGCTGCCAGTCAAAAGTGTTAAGTATTAAAGACAGGTACATGTGTTTTATTTTATTTATTTATATACAAGAAAGACATTAGGTTTGTGAGAGTACATAACATTGGTGTTCTTACATTCTTGAAAAGCCACTAACATAGGGTTTTGGGATGTAGTAATAAGTATGGGAATGGAAACAAATGTTGAGAATGTATTTTATTCATACTTAAATTTATGGTTGACTTTCAGAACTTGATGGTGATTGGTCATTAGTGAGTGATGTGACACACCATCTCCCTACACGTGGAGTGGCCAGGTGTGGAGATGGTGGCCGAGAATTCTCAAATCCATGTGCTTGCCATTACCAGGTATAGTATGCAATCTAAGATTGTTGTTGTTGAAATCAATAGGGGCCTTGAGGAGTATGCAAACCCACTCACTTGGTACTCCCAAGCTGGGTGCCCTAGGCTTAGACCACTGTACCATGACACAGTAAAACCAATGCAACCTGGGATACCATTGAATCCACTAGGAGTCCCAAGACTCCTAACCAGAGCCCAAACCAGGGGCTACACACACTGCCCCCCCCCCCCATGTACTCTGGCTTTGTGGTCCAGTAGTAGGAATCCCAGGTTGCATTGCTCTTACCATGTCATGATGTAGTAGTCTAGGGCACCAGCTTGGGAGTACCAAGTGAGCAGGTTCGAAGAGCATTAGGAGCCGTGAGCATCACGGCTCCTAATGCCGGCACACGCAGCATGAGCTCGCAGCACTGCTGTTCAGCTTGTGACCACAGCATCGCCTAATAATGTCAAAATATATATATAACTTGTATTATTTAGCCATGATAGTATTACAGAAGAGCCTGAGTGTGATAATGACTGTGCACAATGTTCAAATATTAGTGATTCAATGCTGTTCACAATGTTCACAGCGCTAGCCACAGCACCACAGCATTATTTCGTCTATCTAGGAATCTTCAAACGACTTCTTAGGTTCCTTTGCAAAATAAACTTGTGGTCAATTATGTATGTACAAGATTTAGTGACCAGTATTGTGATAACAGCAGGATTGTGGTGGTGATAAGCACTGTGCTTAGTATTGTGGTGAGGGAGCGAGGGAGAGAATCGAGGTAATCTCACTGTGTGGCAGCCACTCTTCTTTTACTCATCATTCTAGCTTAGTGGTACGCTATGGTGAACACATTTGTACATGGGTATATACAATGTGTGTGTGTAGTGTAGTAACAGCAACAGGAGTATGTTGGGAGGAGCTATTTTGTTGGAGGTGACGTAATCGTAGCGTCGTCTGCTGGCTGCTGTGTGATTTCTCATGCAGTGTATCGTGGCCACTGTAAGGTTTGGACACAATACTGGCTTACTTGCATAGTTCTGGTGAATAAAACGTGTAGATAGGTATACATAGCAAGTGTACATAGTGTAATACAAACAATAACAGTATGGTGGGAGGAGGAATGTTGGTGAGTAAGATGTTGGAGGAGTGAGGGAGAGACTGGATGTTGGAGGAGTGAGGGTGTGGCAGCTGACACTCGCGGAGTTCTGAGTGTGTTCATGGTGAATGTATATAGTGTGTGATAGTGTATAGTGTGTAAATAGACTATATATATACATAAATTAGCATAATACAATGGAAATATGTGCCGGATATGTGTACACATGTCATGCACGTAACAGTGTCTTCGGACAGTACGGATGTTCTACTGCCATAATATAGTGTATGTGTTCATTATACATAGAATTGGCACGTAAAAGTATATAAAATGTATTTGGAACTGTGCGCAGAAAATGAACAAAAATATATTCGCGGCAACTTGCACATCCTGCCCCGAGTGACCTACTGGCCCTGGGGGCATATGCCATGGGCGACCAGGGAATGATGACATCACGCACGAACTTACGAACCCCATAGCAGCTAAAGTACTTACAGTTTTGACCTTCTGTTACTATACCCTTACTCAGGGAAGGGTTTTTGACACTTAAAAAACAAAGTAATTTTTTCCAGAGATTTTATTTCCTGTGCACTGCGGGGGGGGGGTTATCATATTTGGAGGTTGCGCAGTATTAAGACTGTGTGTGATGGAAGAAAGATAAATGGTAAAATAAATCTTAAATTATGCAGTTAAAAAAATGTTAAGTTTAATGCACAATAGAATAGCATAAAGATCATAAAAGCAGAATGAGAGAATAAACTATGGTATGGTGACTTTTTAAGGTGTAGTTCAGGATTCTTTTGAGAGTAGTTAACATTCTTTGTCTTAATTTTCATGTTCTTGCTGGTGACTGCCCGCTTCTTGCCCACCTTTTCCTTTTCATGTACAGGATTTTGTAACTTTTTCCTTCTTTAGATGCAATTTTACTTCTTACTAAATTTGGTTCAGCCTTAAACTCCACATGGAATTTCTCACAAGTTCACAGTGTGTGTGACATTGTCACATTAGTTAAGAACAGATAATTCTCACAGCACTCGCCAGAGATGCTCACTCATGTGATTGCTCACCATAATATATCTTAAAAATGATTAGACTTTAAAGTTTTGTGTATGATAATACTTAGTGGACAATTGTTTTTCTATTTAAGGTATGCATTGCATGGTATCCTTGTGGCCTGAAATACTGCAAAGGAAGGGACAATTCTGGCAAAGCTGTGTCATACCGCTGTGGCATTCGCACCTGCCGCAAGTGTCGGAACTTCAGCTACTTTGTGCCGCAACGACAGCTGTGCCTTTGGGATGACTAAATTGAATTCTCGAAGTTGATTAGTTGCTTCAGATATGTCCCTGGTAAATTACTGGTGTGAACCATGCTGGAATTTATCTGGGATATTATTAGCTGCATACTAGTTTTTGTATCGGTTTAGGTTTTTGCTGCTAATTATATCGTGCCATATTAAATTTTATTTTTGTACAGTACTGTAGTAGCTTTTATTTTTAATAAATAAAAAAGCATTTTAAATAAAAGATGGTATTCTTTATACAGTATTTGTTTAAAGAATCCACCTTTTTATAATTTTTGTACAGTATAACTAAGGTTTTAACAGAATACTCCTAGTACAGTCTCCCTCTGTATTGTAACTTTTATATAACACCAGTGTTGCTTCCCATGCATGAAAGTTATATGTTAACCTAGTTCTCAACCAATTTTTTTATCTTTTTAGTTATATTGAAGTGTTATTTAAAGTATATATGGGGAATCTTCATGATTGTCTGTAATTAAAATGAAAGAAGGTCAAGTAAAAATGTTTATTAAATATTTGTAAAAAATAGAAAATGAGAGTATCACTGGTTGTTCAGGCAGGTTTACAAGCTATCACAGTGAGCCTGAGAAAACACACTTTGGCTTGCCTCTGCACGCAGCTCAGCCAATGAAAATAGGGTGTGGGGCAGTAGCTAATGGTTGTAAGCATTAGTGCAATTGGTGTCGTGTTGCAATTTGTCTAGTCAAAGGTCTTTTTAACACCATTTTTGAAGCCATGTGATATTCACATTATAGAAATATAGCTGTTCTTTCTAGATCAGCATAATAGAACTGCATCAGGGTGATGGATAGTTATTTTACTTTACCAAACTTTACTTTAATTAAGAGTTTAATTACTAATAATAATTAAATCATTGTTGGGGACAGGTAGCCAGTTTATACATACAGTACATGTTAGGCTTATATCGAGGTCCTCACACGGTCGAATTACTGGCCCTCCCCAGGGTGCAATCCCACAAGAAGCTGATTAACTTCTGGATACTTATTTACTGTTAGGGAGACAGGGACATTAGGTGATAGGAAACGTGCCCAACCATTTCTGTCCTGCCCAGGATTCTAACCTGGAATTCTCGACTGTGAGTTTAGAACGAACCCGACTTTACTACCGGGACCCTAACTGGCATATACACCACACAAAGGGACCATCCACCCCCCTTGGTGGCCGGTGCCTTGATGTGGTGAGGGGACTCACATTTGCCACCTGCAGGTAAAGCGACGGCCTCGCTTCCTGCAGGTTGATGTTCAGTTCCCAACCGTCCAAGTGGTTGAGCACCATTCCTTTCTCCTCGTCCCATCCCAAATCCTTATCTAGACCCTTTCCAAGTGCTATATAGTCATAATGGCTTGGCATCTTTCCCTGATAATTCCCTCCCTCCCCTCTCCTGCTTGCTGGAGCAGTGCACAAGCTAAGTATGTCCCTATATGTTGGCCATGTATGGAGACCTGGACATGTCCTTATGTTCCTTCATCTGAGAGTTGAACCTACCCAGTGGTCTCCCTGTAAGGGGGGGGGAGGCAACATGTTGCTTATGTGAGGGAGTGGGGATAACATGGGACATTTAGTGTGACCCCACCTCAACCAATTTGATTGTCTAGCTTAGCCCTTCCTAGTTAGACATCAGGTCAAGTGAGCATTGTGGAGTTGGTGTATGTATCGGTCCCTAGGATACTGTTTGACCCCTCAATGCTTACTCATATATACTGTTCCAGTTACCCCAGGTGTTGCTTGCCCATGTGCTCTCCATGGTGATGTTGGGCGGCGAAGTCTTTTTCAAATTACTTGTATGTATACGTACAGTACTTCTAACCCTCTTTCCTCTTCTCAGAGTCGTGAGGTGGATGACCAGGTCCCCGAATCAGACCATGTTGGAAGTTTGGACTCCATGGCTCCAACTGTGGTGGGCCTAAACCTGGCTTAGTCTCAGACTATCCCAAATGACCCTTTCTGTTCCCCTCCTATTTGCTCTTTGGCAGGGTTGAGCTCAAAGTGCCTGGTGGTGAGTACCTCTTCACTGGGTGTGGTTGTGTCTTTTATTGGGACAACTTTGCTGTTTACTCCCCCTGGTTCATGAGAGTTTTGGTACCGTTGCCACATTTGTGTGTTTTTCTTCTATCTCTGCTGCATTCCAGGATTTGGCTCTACTATGTGGCCTAGGTATTTAAATCTTTGTCATGGACATACCTGACCTGACTTGCACAGCCATTAGCATTTGGTTGACTGTGGATTCCCAAGTTACTTTTAACCTCGCCCTGGACTGGCATTCGTGTAGTTGTGCCCCTTCTCCGATATGTGGCTAAAAGTGTTCCCTGTGGCTCTCTGACCATCATTTCCAACCTTCTTTCTCACTTGCCAGGTTAGTGCTGCTTCTTTACTTCCTCCTTCTCTTTCCTCAGTGCCCTCTTTCACTTTTCCACCCCATCTTTTCAGTCTTCCTTACTTGTCATTTGCCTTTCCCACAACTGTCTGCCCAACTGATGTCCACCCTCCTCCCAGTCATCTTCATGTTGTCTACTCTTGTTCTCCTTCTCCAACTGAAACTATGTTGACCAGTGCACAGTACATCGCTACTAGAATGCTTATCTAGCTACAAACAGAAATCTGGTTCCTCTCCCTTTTACTCTTCGGTGGGTAAGAAGGCTTCTGTCCTTCCCCAAATTTCCCCTTCCGCCTTGGTTCCTGCCTCTCCTCCCATCTCGGTAGGGGAGTAAGCCGATTTAGCTATGGAACTTCCCGTAGCCCTTGAATCTCCCTCTGATACTGTCCCTGATGAAGTGCTCACTGCTGTTTGTCATTGTTCGCCCACCCTCCCTACAACAATTGTCTGTTGCTGGGTTCCCAGCCATATTGGTATTGCCTTAAATAAGCGTGTGGACATAAACACTAAGGGGGCTATCCACACTTGTCATTCTTCCCAAAAAGCATTCCTCCTTCAGATTTCTAGCTAATCATTCATTCATTGATCAGAGATTATTGGCAAGGTCGTTGGTCTTTTGTTACAGGTAAACTGAGTGCTCATAAGTGCAGCCTGTCCTCTTGACCATCCTCCTACCACCATAATTGGCGGCAGGAAACGGCTCTGGTTAAGTTACATATTAGCCATACGTGATAACTTGTAGGTACTTGATGGAATGCTGCCCTGTCCCCTTATTATTTGAATTGAATTGTTCATCTTAGTCATGCACCTCATTGTAGAATGTCCCAATTTTCAGGATGTCTTGCGTGTCTTGCTTCCCAAATGTCCTTTGTGATCATTTGTCCTTCAATAGAATCCATAGTGAATCTGATATCTTATCACTTGCCTTATGTACTTTTGTTCCTGTATTGGCATCCTCAGTAATATTTAACACCTTATGAATATCCAGTGTCACTGATGATGCTACATAAGTCTCCCCCTGCTTGGTGATGCCTTTTGATAATTACTACTTACTAATAATGTCAAGAAAGAACTGACTGCTGCTTCTGCAGCACAAGGGACCAGGAACACAGGAAATATTCCATAAATATGTACAATATGAAATCAAAATAATAAGTCAATGATACAAAATTATATATTATACAATGATGATACACAAATTAGATTGCAGTCCCCTTTTAGGTTGAAGTCATTTCTGACTACCTCTGACTCTTCAGAAGAACTGCCCAAGGTCTAGTGAATCCATTGTTATACGAGGCACTGTACTACTGTTAAGAGCATTCACAGATAATAGCTGTAACTTCATACTGCTCTGAGGGCTACAGACTAGTCACTGATCTTTTAGATTATTTTACAAATAGGCCACAAACACCCTTGCTTGTCTGCTTGTTTTATAAGAAAAGTTACTCTAATAAGTCAAGAGAAATTGTGTACTCTACAGTAACACTGTGACATTAACATTAAAGTATGTAGAGTGGTTATATTTGTTATTGTTGTTTACTTATGTTTCAAAATTGCAGGCAAACTTAGATAGGTCTCTTTTTTTTTTTTTTTTTTTCCCAGTGAACTATTGTTATATGTAATGACATGGTCATTACATATAAGTGTAATACTCATTACTGCAGTTTTATAGTGGTTGCCCAGGTAATATTCCTGTGTTAAGAATTATGTACAAATTCTCTCAACAAACATTACAAACAAAATTTTATGAATTTTGTTGTGTTATGAATTTCTAATAAAAATTACCTATAATATATCTGAAGTTTAAATGTAACGACAGTACTGTACCTATATTTATGAGGATCCACACTAGCAGTTTTCCTATCTAAAAGAAAAAATGCATCCCATCCTTCAAAATTGATAGAACCTATACCCAGTGGGTACAATATCTAAGGGCAATGCCATTTCAATGCCAAATCATTGTCATAAACATTGATTCAATGTTGAAATAATGTTAATAATGTTGATTCAGCATTGAACCAATGTCACTCTTGGATAATTAGCCTATTGATTATTTACTATGGATAGAAGAATATAGACCTGCATGGAGAAACTATTCATGTTGTGTACAGTTGAAATTCTAAAGGGCATAACACAGCAAAACTAACTATAAACCTATAGAAACCTGTACTAGGCCTAAATTAGTAATCCTAGCCCTAACATATGCAATATAGGCATATTTTAGTACATGTTTTAGGCCTAGGAAAGTTTGTTTTGTTGCCCTCTAAAAAATTTATAGTACAAAACAATTTTTTGTGCAAGTCTATATTTTGTATTTGATCCATAGTAACCACCCAGTGGGCACAATATCAAAGTGTTATGTTGAATTTACTAATGTAAATTCTCTTGGATACCGTGCTCACTGGGTATAGGTACCATCACCCGGATGACAGGTGGAAATAATAATCCAGTAATTAAGTACAGGTATTTTATCTGAATTTAACAGAGCCACTAACACTAGTGGCATTGGTGAGGCCAGGAAGCTGATGGCATCTGAAAGGTCCCCTTCCCATAGGAATATTGGTTGTTTATTCTTGTTTTTCTTTGACCATAATATGAGAAAAAGTGTTCCATGTTTTCTTTGTTTTATTAGCTTAGATTTCTTTCTTTTAAAAGATGAAATTTATCTTCATAGTAGGATGTCTTGGCATTTTTTATTATCTTAGAAAGCAGTGAGGAATACGGCTTAGACAATTCTCTGGGAATGACCCCTAGCCTGTGTTTCTTTTCATATTCATGTTTTTTTTTTATTAATTGATGTAAGTATCCCTTTTGTGGGGCAAGAATTGTTGGTCCTTTTAGTTGTGATGTTAGTAAATAAATGACAAAGAGCATTATAGAGGCTTAGTTATGTGAAGACATGTCTGCACACCTAAATTGAAGTCAATTAAAATTGATTACAGAGTTCAGTTTCTCACTTAATATTACCAGCAGCAGCAACAAATTTACTGTGGAAGCTCCAGTATGCAATCTAAAGCTCATTTTCTTGGTTTCAAGAGGTTTAAAAATACATATTGGTTAGGAGAAATATTGGGTATTTGTCTGTTGTATCATCAGTGATTATGCCAGAGTTAGTGGAGAGGTTATGTTAGTCCAAATGTGGTCAAGGGTGGAGGCAGTCATTCAAGTAATTCTGGTGAGTTTAGTTATCATGGGCAAAAGAATACAGTTTGAGGAAGCTAATAATGACATCAGGCTGGCATATGTCAATATTGAAATCTCCAGTTAAAATTAAATGTTTTTTGTTAAACTTGTTACTTAGTATTAATATAAAATTAAGTTTCTAATATTGGAGTTGAATTCAACTACATCAGTGGTAGTACAGTACTAGTAATTCTGTAGGCAGCTCTCAAAGGTAAGTTGGCATTAAAGCCCTTCATTTTGAGCTGGGAAAATATATACTCTCCATGATTGTCTCAAGACTCGGCAAATATCTGCTATCAGAACTATAACACACTGTCTTCAGTTAACACACAGCCCCTCTATTTAAGTCCCTTAACATGCTAAACATATGCACTCCACACATTCTCATGTGATATCTACATGTACAAAACCTTGTTCCTAAATGCTAATCTTGATCTGAAACTTTTCCTTCATAGGTGTAATAGAACCCATGAGCACCACACCAGAAGTAAATATTTCTTTCATATTTCCAGATTCAAACTAAATCTGTGCTAACACGCCATGCAAATAAAAGGAAATAAAAGGGCCCAGTCTTTGGAACTCACTCCCTAATGAATTAAAAAAATTGTCCAACACATCCCCTTGTTCATAAGTAAAACCAAAAAGTACCTAATTTCATCCTCAGTTTCCTACCTTGTTCTTCAAACTTTCACTGTATCTTGTACTACCCACTTCCCCAATATTAGTACAGTACTTAAGACATATCTTTACCAGTGTAATCACTTCTATCAACTTACATTGTAGCTATTTGTTATAAAACCTTGCTACAACATACCTTTTCATCTTAACTGATATGTTAGATTAAGGACCTGCCAAAAAAGCTATGCGTGTTAGTGGCTTTGCATGAATGTAAAAATACCAATCTTATGCAATCTCACCAACCCATTGTACCGTCTTGCAAATAAATTATTATTATTGTAAGATAACTTTTGAGCACAATAGCTCCTTGTGGTAATAAATTACTATACTGCCACTTTGTTTAGGTCTATGTTACGACCCTGGGTTCTCCAGTGGAAACCAGAGGTCAAAATTGAGCTATTAAACTTTCTGGTAGTACAGTTGGGCATCTAGAATGTCAATTGTTTGTATCTTCCCTGCCAGACGTAAGACTATTATTGTTTCTCAAAGAGCATTTAAAGACTGAGCTGGGGGTTGATTATTAAATAATAACATAGGCACCAACTTTGCTTACTAATACTTTCTAATCATTCATAAAGTAACAATACGTTTCATAGGGGAAGATCTTTAATGTGCTTAGCTGCACGATCAATTAGGCTCCTCCCGGCACCACAACATGAGGGAGGCAGCTGGTGGCTAGCTCGGGCTTCTCTTGGCTGGTGGCGTGAGGTTAAGACCTACTCTGTGGCTGTATCCCTACTCTCCTTCCTTCTCCTCTTACTTATTTCCCTTACCTGAAGTTCCTGTACCCTTAAGTTAAGTATTATATGGTGTAAGTGTGCCTACTCTGGTAGTAACGATTGGGGAGACCTGGGGATAGTATTTTGCCAGTGTTTGGGTACCCCTAAGTGTTGTGTTTTGTATTAGGGTCCCACGTGGTTTCACTACCCTAAGCTGCATCCAGCTTAAGTGCTTATCCAGTAGTACTTTACCCTAGCTTGTTATTAGTGTGAACCTTGTATCCTGCCTACGTGGACCAAGGCTTTTAACGTAAGATAGTGTGGTAAAGTTATTATTATTATTGTTATTGGTGTGAGTGTATATGGGGGGTTGTTAACGGGTTAATAAATAAGTACATGAATTACAGAGTATCTCTTCTTCCAAGGTGGGAGCGCAGTGATCAACCCTTAGACTAACATATTTGGTCTTGTAGCAAGTTATTACTACTGTGGATAGTTTATTTTGGGGGCCGGGCCTTTTAGCTCTCCCATATTTGATACTCCTGTCTTCTAACTACCTATACCCCTTAATAGTACCAGTACCCCATAGAGTCCCACTCATATCTTTTGTAACAAGTGGGGGCCTGTCCGGGAGGAACATTATAAGTGTAAAAAATTAGATTCTTGAGTGCCAAAATTAAAATTTTTTATTTCTGCAGAACGGTTGTGTGCTAGCCTAGGGTCCAGCTCATCTAGCAAAGGACATTCTTGCACTGACTGGACACCCAGCTGGATCCCTTCACGATTAAGGTTAGTGTGGCCTTGTGTTAGGGGCCGTGCAAATTTTTGTTTTTTTTTCCAATTTTTATTTTTTAATTTTTTCTTTGGCTGGGAGCTAAAATTATTAGTGATGTCTTCTGAAATGCAGAAACTGGCAAGGGAGCCTTCAGTGGTAGAGATAAAGAAACTTAAAAAGTCTAATTTAGTATTGTTAGGCCAGGAATTTGGCCTAGAATTAAATGTCGCAGATAAAAAGTGGACTTTGGTAAATGAAATATTAGAACATTGTATTGATGAACAACTATTGGCAAGTGATACACCTTTATGCCAGCCTAGCCAAGCAGAAAGTGCAACTCATAGGGAAAGTGAATTAGCTTTAGAGTTAGCAAAAATAAAATTAGAGGAGCAAAAACTCAAAACCGAGGAGGCTAGAATTAGAGCGAATGCCACTGGAACTCCACCTGCCGGGGATTCAAACCCCAGGCATTATGAGAAAAAGCATAATTTGCCTGAATTTTCCGAGTCTGACCCTGAAAGGTTTTTCAACCATTTTCAGAGAGTGGCCACGTCCATGAACTGGCCAAAGGAAGAGTGGGTGAAAATCCTACAGGGAAGACTTAGGGGTAAAGCACAAGATATTTTTATAAACATGCCTGACGACGAGTGTTTCGAATATGATAAAGTCAGGGAAGGTATTTTGCGGGCATATGAAATTACTCCTGAAGCTCACCGCCAAGTTTATCGTAACCTTAGGCCTACTCACAACCAACCGCTCACTGAATTTGTGAATGATCAAATTCGATTGTTTGATAGATGGATTCGCTCGGCGAAAGCCGAAACATACGAGGCTCTCAGGAACTTAATTTTAATGGAGCATTTTATAGATGTTATGCCAGAGAACGTATCACAATACATTAAAGGAAGGATAGAGTTAAATTCTAAAATAGGGGATTTGGCCAAGTTGGCAGAAAACTACCAATTGGCGGGCAAAAGGCCCAATAAAAATAATTATACCCCACAGAGTAGCAAACCTTATACCCACAGCCAGTCCAGACCAGCTCATTCTAACCCTTTACCTAATGCACCTTCTGTTTCAGACATAACTAACCCTGTTAAAGTGTCTAGCCCAACGGCACCTAAAGGTGAACCGAAGGGTAATTCTGTTAGTAATGTCTCTTCTCCCCGACGTTTTTGTGGTCACTGTAATCGTCCAAACCACACTATTAGCCGTTGTTGGCAACTGCACCCTGAAAAAAGACCCAATGCTCTAGTTGTGACACAGGGCTTGAGGCTTTCAGAAGGGTTAGGGAGTAAGACCTCCAACCCACAGTGGTTGGACTTGCTTACCCCATTCTTATCGAAAGGGAGACTACTTTTGTCTGAGGGTTCTTCCTGGAAGGACGTGGTGATCTTCCGAGACACCGGTGCCATCCAGACTTTAATTTTAGAGAGTG